GAAACAACCTCTGGGCTGATCTAAGTCAGGGCACGGCTAACTCACAGATCCAACCCTAGCCTGAAACAACCTCTGGGCTGATCTAAGTCAGGGCATGGCTAACTCACAGATCCAACCCTAGCCTGAAACAACCTCTGGGCTGATCTAAGTCAGGGCATGGCTAACTCACAGATAGAACCCTGAAACACCTTCTGGGCTGATCTTACAGGTAGAAGGGAAAGACCCAACAAAATATATGATACATTCAGTGTCTAGCTCACTCAACATTGGTTGTCACGTGGGATCAAATCCCTTACAAAACGTTACTGAATGTTATCAACTAACCAGTAAACAAGATCCAAAGGCTGAAACGCTTCTTTACGGATGAGCCTTGCGACAAATTGTTCAGTCTCCCGACACGCAGTTCCGTTACCAATAGCAATTGTCTCGCAGCTGAAAATAGGATAACAATTGACAGTAMTTCAAATGATAAACTCGTGGTCCTCTTTTAATGTCTCTAGTGGATAAGGGACGGAACCGACATTATTAACGCGGTCATCCAAGCCACGTGAAGGTCTTAAGAACCATTTGCTGATGAAATGCAGAACCTAGAAAGTGACCATTTTCGAGTGTAGGTGCGGCCGGGATTCAAACCCCGCCCTCCCGCACTACATACTAACACTCTTACTAAATCAGCTAACCGGGCGTTAAAACCGTTGGTACACGCACATTTCAAATGACATTGTAAAATTTGAGATACGGACGTGGCGTGCCGTGACCTTAAAGTTTCCCATAATTTTTATTGGATAAGCAGTGATCTTGCGCCTTGTGATTGGTTCATAGGATGTCGTCCGTGACAGCTATACCGCGTGAAATCACGCTCCGAGTCCGAGTTTGTTGCATATAAAAAAACAGTAAGATCTGTGTCTATTTTCAGCTCACTACTTTCACCCGCTATCTTGTTGTCTTTCAAACTTTCAAAAATACATATTGTTAATTAAAGCAAAACATAATAGCCACATTTCATATATGAACGACGTTGGAGCACTGGGGTTCATTCACACAGGGTAAGTGAGCGCGAAAACTCTGAGGGGCCGGCAAGCGCGTTTTGGCGCCCAAAAATTTCCGCCAAATTTACAGGAGCCTTAAGGGCCGTCGTCGTCCTTCGTCACTGAAGCGTATTGAGATCTACCTGTATTTTTTGATCAAAGAAACAATTTTTTCTGCTGCATCTCTAGAATTGGCTCTTCTTCCAGTGGGGAAAATCAATGATGTTTCCAACACTAAACCTGTAAAGAGAAAAGACGAAATCACTGAGTTGGGATGNTGGGCTCAGCATAGCCATCTTACAGCCATGAGTATATCCTGGATCCAATGCGAGGACAACCTTGCCTTTCACTGGAGGGCTGAGCAGTAAATTGTACAGGTTCTGTTCAAAGACATCTGTGCTTTCTTTGTCTGCTTGTTGCTTGAGAGCAGTCCTGAAATCATCATCACCATCATCATCATCACTATCATCATAATAATCATCACAATCAGGTTCACCATCATTGTAGTCGTTATCCTCACCCATYACCATCACAATCATAATCATCACCAATATCACCATCATCACAATCATCCATCACTACCATAAAATAAAAGTAATAAATATCTAGTGAAATATCTATAAAAGTGTCTAGTCATTCTATCGCTTTCACACTAATTGTGGACACTTTTCGCTCACACACACCACTATCAACATCATCATTATCATCATCATCACCACCCATCTCTACCATAATCATTATCACAATCATCAAAATCATCAACTTCAACACTATCACCACCACCATCATCATCATCACCACCATCATCATCATCACGGCCATCATCATCACCACCATCATGTTTACCTTGCACGTCTTGCTATCATTGGTTCCATCAGCCTATTGTATGCATCCTCCAGTGAGGGCAATAGTAACTTTTTGTTATCAGCTGTTTGGTATAAGGCAAAAATGCACAAATGAATTAACCAAGGATAAATAAGTTGTGTGCATCCTTCAGTGTGGACAATACTAACTTCTTGTTATCAGCGTTATATATGAAGGAAGAATGCACAAATGAATTAACCAAGGATAAATAAGTTGTGTGCATTCTTCAGTGTGGACAATAGTAACTTCTTGTTATCAGTGTTATATATAAGGGTAGAATGCACAAATGAATTAACTAAGGATAAATAAGTTGTGTGCATCCTTCAGTGTGGACAATAGTAACTTCTTGTTATCAGTGTTATATATAAGGGTAGAATGCACAAATGAATTGTGCATTTGAAGTACACATATACATACCTGTGGCATTTCCAGGTATCCAATAACTCTTTGCAAAGCTGAAAAACTTGTCTTTCGCCAGAGGATTAATTGCAACTTTCACAGTCAGAATCTTTAACTGCTCTGCACGGTTTATTGCTAAWGTCTAAAAAAATGATAATAATACCAAGGCATATCATTAGTAAGTTAAAATTGGCTGTAAACTATGTTTTCATATATTAGAAGTACCGTAAATCCCGGGGGGCTTATTTATTTCAGGCACGTTTGAGGGGGGGCTTATTGGAGAGGGGGGGGCTAAATTGAGAGGGGGGGCTTATTGATTTAGTCGAAACACAGTAAATTGTACGCTGTCAGGATGTAATATGATTCAGGATTAAACGGAAGCATTACTATTGACCGTCTCGCATAATCTGTAGTTCTTCACAAAGAACTAGAGCGCAGAGTAGAAAAACTTAAGCATATGAATTGGAGGTCATACAACTGAAAATGAGGAACAAACTGTTGCGATTATGTTAGTGAACTACCGCATCATGACTAATAAATCACCTTTAATTAGTACATGTGATTCTTTAGTTGTGAAAGGGGGAAGGGGGTAGACTAAAAAGAGAGGGGGGCTTAACAAATTTCTTCCTTTAAAAAGGGGGGGCTTATTTGAGAGAGGGGGGCTAAATAGAGGATTTACGGTATATTCCAAAAAGGTCCATGATAGGTTCATTTTGATGGAAGAATTTGGGATGCAAGCTAAAGACAGAGCGGCAATTGGGATTCTCAATTATGAGTGGACGYTCATGTTTTTGATGTGTCAGGATTCTGTGAGGGATTGCAGTTGGATATGGAATTACCCWTTCATCATTTAAATTTCTAAAATGCTGAAATACTGCAATCTYCTTAACAGTGTATTTGATATCGACTTGCCTTGCAAATGGTCTCTAGTTTGTGAATGTCCRTGTTATAGATAATAGTATATTTACTTATTTCAATTTATTTTATTTTATCTCAAGGCGCATTCTCAAGGGAAGTGCCTAGCATGGGRCTTAGAGTCCCATTCATGCTCTYCCTATTGGGTAGTCTTTCACATTTATTTTTCTAATTATTTATACWTGTACCTTAGTTATAGCTATTACCCAATAAAGTTGTAAAATAAAAGTATATTTACCTGATGTGCCTTAAATTCCCTGACACTCTTGTGTAAATTCTGATATATTTCATACTTTTTTTCTTCACCATTAGGAATTGCTTTTCTTTTTTTTGTTGTTGTGAGGTACGGTGGGTATTGCTCACACCTCAAAACAGAACAAAGGAAAGGTATGAATCCCAAATTGGGATGAGCTTCTGGCAGCTTTATTCAGTGCATCAACATTTTGCAACAACTAATAGTTGGCAGAATGACAGTTTAAACATTACTTTTTATGGATTAAGTGATTTGACTCAAACAAAGAATATAGTTTTGTTGTGGYTTATAGGGATGCTACATTGATTGTTTAAGTTTTTTGATGTTAACGCAGTCCTTAGGCCAACTTCTTCAGGCTGGTTTTCTTTGTGCATGGTGAACATTTTGCACAGGGAACAAGGAAACCAGCCTCAAACCTCAAACCAGTTTGTATCAAGAAGCTTTACTCAAGTTAATATAAAATGTTTCCTATGATGTTCTTACAATGACTTCAGGCTCTCCACAGTCTTGGGATCTTTAGAGATTATATCAGCCAGAATATGCTGAACTCCAAGGGACACTTCTTTTACATTTCTTAACCCTAAAATGAATAATGCTAATATACATTCAAGAAAAAAATAATATATGACATAATACAATATGCGAAAGGCCTTATTGGACTCATGGTGTTGTGAGAACTGATTATGATAGAGCAGTCTTCATGACTGTGAAAAGCTCACGGAGCGAACATTGCTCAAGAGTTTAGTCTCAGTCCAATCAAATATCCAGAACATGGCATAAACATGGTGCAGACAAGGTCACTCCAAGGTAACCAAACTGCCAGACCAATCATATTGCATGTAAAAAAAAAAAACAAATAAAATTCTAGGAAGCATCACAGTCATGGAACGGCAGGCGTATATGGCACTAAGCTTTTCACAGTCATGTGAAAACTGATCTAATGAAGATTACCACTGTTTTCATTGCAATGCACTGATGGAGACAACAGTCCTGACAGGGAAATTGGGCAATACACTGCCGTCAATCAGAGAATGTAAAGGTACCAAACAATTTACTTGATTGACGGAACTGTGTTGCTCAATTTCCCTGTTGTGACTGTTGTCTCGATCAGCACATGGCAATGAAAACAGTGGTAATGTAGGATCAGAAATAGTAGTAATAAATTATGCGTTCGGTGTATACATAATGAAGTAGAGAGAATAAGAGAAAAATATCAAATGCCCTTGGCAGGATTCGAACCCATGTCTTCGGTATTCTAGTCCGATGTGTTAATCACTACACTACAAAAAATATGCTTGCTTAAAAAAAAATTGTATACCTTCAGTGCTATAGTCAATATATTGGAATAAATTTGTGTCTTTTYCAATTTGGTTGAGAATTGACTCTGCAACTTTTTCAAGCCCCAGCTCTCTTGCTCTTTCTGCTAAGGAACCTTTGTGTCCCTTTTTGAATGGAGCATACTAAAATAAAACAAAAGACAATATTAGAAACAGTTAATTTTTCATGAGGAAGGGGCATTGTTGGGATTCACTTGCTATCCCATACCACAAATTTGACACCCTCTTCGTTGTTGCATGAAAAAATCCAAATGTGTTAGTTTAATGTACAAAAGTATATATGGAATTACATTATCGCCAGTCATACTTCTGCACATCGTGCTGTAATTAGAACAATACTGTTATTCGTTTCCATAAATATACAAAAATAAAGCAATGCCCTTCCTTCAGTACAACTTTAGAATACCCCACAAATCATATGCACATACTTAATGACCATGACTTCTATTGTCGTATGCCTTGTTCTTCAAAGAGTTCCGACAATTGCATATCATTTGTGGGGTATTCTAAAATTACTCCGTGCCCTTCAWATGACATACTATTTCATCCACTTCTTCTAGTGACCGTGAATCATCTAAAGATTTCTTTATCTTGTTGGTAAGTTTGTCACCTATCTTCTTCTTAACTGTTTCTGCTTTGTTTCTGACTGTCCTGGAAGAGTTTTATTAAGTCACATTAAATACAATATAATATAATACATATATATTCAATCCATTCCCAAAAGAGTAATTAAATGACAATGATATATGGTRGCCATGTTGATAGTATTTATAAACAAAATGAATAGCTGCGATGATGTAAGGTCCTGCAACCAAAGAACATATATAGTACTTGTATGTGATATTTGAACTTTAAAACCTGCAAATCATACTGCAATTTCAACTTATACTGCAAATTTCAATATTTTACACCTATRTTTTTTGCTCTGCTTATAATTATCAAAACATTGAAATTTATCTTTGTTTGAGTATTTGTTTTCCCATCTCAGAGACCGTCAAAATTTTCTAAGTTGATGTGTATGCAGATGTATTCTAGCCACTGTATAAAGCTAGCTTCAATACGTTATACCTTTGTTGGTGAAGTAAACTTTCAATACTTCTAAGTTTGGTACTATCAAGTCCTTTCGTATCCTCTTTCCTATAACGTGCTATAAACGGTACTGTATTGTCATTATCTAGCAAATCTATAACTTTTTCCACTACTTGTAGGTCGATAAGCAGGTTTTCTGATATTACACAAGCAAGTCTTCCCTGACCATGGTCAGCCATGGTCGCGCGCCGCCGCTGATCAAATTTAGCGCTCGAAGGATTGTGCCCGGTAGCAAGGCCTGGGTTCTAGAATACTAATGACTTCCGCTTTTTTGATTTCCTTCAGTCTTTTCTCGTGGGATTTATTTAATTTGCTCTTTGAGATTTTGCGAGAAGGAAGATGATTAGAGAATAAGGCCGTGTTTTGGTGGCAGTGGTCGCCCTTTAACTGCCATCTTTGTTGTTGGGAAGAACACAGGGAGCCCGCGCTCGAAAGTCCAACCAAACATCCAAAATTAACCGGATGTCTCGATCATATATTTTTTCTAAGTTCACTTTTCGTTCCTTTAGTTTTTTTCCTTTTCATATCATTTAGTGTTCTCCACGAACAGCTAGCAGTTGTATTTTAAAATTTGCTTCCCAAATAAATAGCTCAATAGCATCTTCATGTAGTAGACAACCATACATCTATCTTATTTTATTATTAACAAATAAATATTAGTTAAATTCCATTAAACGTGATGTGTATGTACAATTTTGGTTTACTGTGCAAATAACAAACCCATTGTTTTTCCATGGACACTTCAGACCTCGTATAATTCCCTAGAGTGTTATTTCTTTGTTTACCGGTTGAACATCAGAAAACAGATAAATATGGATATGAATCAAACAAAAAATCTTATTCTCGAGAGAATGACATGTGGTCTGAAAAGGGAAAACATTACACTCAAGTGGATTTTGTACGTTACGGAGAAATTCAATAAACTTTTAGGATCTCAGCTTTAATCCCTGTGTACCATGTTTTGGAAGATGCACTTCCGGAGTTTTTATTTCTTCATTTACCCAAAGCGTACGTCTTTTACGACTCTAGTTTGACAACCTCTTCAATGTTTTCATAATTCCAGAACTAATGAAATGTTCTCTAGAATTTTCTAGGTTATGAAACGCAACGCTGAGTTATTTCCGTAGCACTTTCCTTGCCCCACCCCTATCAGAAAACATTTTGTTTGATAAATACAATAAATCTTAATAATAATTAGCCCTGAACCACAGGTATCCCGCCAAAGGTATAGACCAAGTCTTAACAGGATTAATAGCAAAAGCCATGCTCCCATAAGCCTTCCATATACCATAACAAGATGATGATTGGAAGATTATTATGCCAATGAATACCACGTGGGTAAAATATCGAATGCAACTGGCAGTACAAAAGGAGGAGGGAGGGATGGAAGGTGACGATCGACCAGAGCTGGGCCTTGACCGAGGTGGGTTTCTCCTAAGACCAATGTAGTTCGTCAGACATACGGTAAGGGGAAGGTTAAAGGTCAGAAACTGGAAAAAAAGGATGAAAATTAGTGTCTCTGTTCTGGAGTGCAATGTTTTTACATTGTTGCAATAAACTGTTACCAGTGAAGAGAAAAAGTAAAAGATGGCACTAGGCTCAGATTTCTCAGCAAGAGAGGAGAGTATCGCGGGCGCACGAGATCCCGACGGTTTGAAATTTGAGCCTAAGATGGTACCCATGCACGCCTCTAACGCTGACATTTGACATTCATGATAATTTCTCGCCAGGAGATGTTCACACAACGACGGTCAAATGCAAATGAAGCGTAATGCAACGTTTAACCCACAATGCTTCATGCGACTTGATCACCCTCCTCTGGGTTCAATCAGATCCCTAGATCCACAGTCACTTTGAGTAAAGCTTAGATTTCTTTAGCAGCAGTCATTGGGGTCGAAGGAACTTCTACCGACACTAACGAGGGCTGCAAAGTAGACTAGGCTTACCTGTACAATACCATAATAGAACGTCAAGCTGCCTGGAATAAATTGTCCATTGACGTATAACCCAAAGACAAACACGCATCCCACGTGATCAGTGATGAGCTCCCCAAYATACCAAGGACCTGTAGAAAGAAACAGCCATCTTGGAAAACTACGATAATTTACGTAACCTATGTGCGCAGAAGCGTTTCTCGATCCTGCAACCTTTGTAACCGGGTAGCGGGAAAGAAAGTGCAGTCTTATTTTACATCTTAAGGTCGTAAAAATTGTGAAATTGTAACGTCTCCTCTGCAACAGTTGCGCTCAACGTTACAATAAAGCTGCAGATGCAGAGTAAAGTTATATTTCTGCAACAATGCGCGCAACAAACTTCGATATGTAAGCACGACTGCAACTACTGTTGGAAATGATTTGATTTTCTCTGTCAAAACGCGGCACCTTTTCAGGGTAATGTTACTTGATTTATAGTTGTGTTGCAGTAAAAGTTGCTAGACGTGATATCCTTAGGGAACTCTGTCGCCCGAACAACAATGAGCCGTGTGCATGTCCGAGTCTTTGCATCTTCATATAGTGACATCGAAGGTGGATTATCATAATGTATTTAGTGTCTCTGTTCCAAATCGTGGCAAGTATAAGCCTGGCATGTAGTAAAAACGGGTAAAGGAGATTTTTAAACCAACACTCATTCACTACCCCATCACATGTACAAGCCAATATTTGATCGTGTGTCGCGTTTAAACAAAAGTTATCTATCTAATGATATATCTACTCATAAAAATGCAGCAGTGAAGGCACGAAGACAAGACCAGTTGTTGAAGCTTACCTACAACTACGTAGACGCCATAAACAAAGAGAGGATAATACAAGTGATTGTTCTTGGTGAGCTTGCTGAGATTGTAAAACCATCTATTAATCAATCCTCGTAGATATCCTAGAAAATAGAGAAAATTATATGATTGGTTGGCTGTCAGAGCATAAAACAATGTTTCACTTTTTCCCCGATTTTACTGACTTTGAAGTTTCGAGGTGGTGTAACGCTAGAGCTTCCACAAAAGAAACAAGAGTTTTTTCAAAAGTCTACAGCATAATGCTTAAAGAAGTGTAAACTAAAATGCTGTGAAGGAGTCGCTATTTACAAAAAAACAACAACAACAACAACAAAAAAACAACAACAAAAACAAAAAAAACAAAAAAAAACGAAACAACATACGCAATCCATGGCACGGTCACGGTGCACTCACCATGACCAATCACAGCATAGCGCGCAACATTACAGTGTTGTTTTCCATACCTGAGGAATCAGATTCATTACTTGAACACTGGCGTATCGCCCAAAGACCTAATACGATGATGATGGCTGATAAATAGAATGAAACTCGACCCTGAAACACAAAGGACAACACAGGGGTCTCACAGAGGTCTAGATAACTATTGGATAGAATAGTTGCTCAAACCCTAGATTAAATTTTACTTGGAGACTTTGGTTGTCTGGGAAACCATGTCTAAGTCAATTGAAACCAGATTCATTCCAATCCTACAAAGAAAAGATCCATGGCAGCTATGTTTTGAARCAGGAATAATGCAATACTTTTGCATGACAAGAGGTTTAATTTCCTAAAGAAGAAAATTTTCAATTGTTTTTCTCTACGACATGGCTGCCGCACAAGGATACATCCAGAGGTATTGGCGTACTTGTTCCYGGTGTAAACACACTGTAAACAACGATGTTTAGCCATAGTACAAAATTGTTCAAATATTTATACAATTTACCAGTGTACAAAAATCTGTGAGTAAAATAATTGCTGGAAGAARATCAAGAAGAGGTCGAGTGCCATCGATCGAAAAYTGCTGGCTTTGAGTAYTCTGTTTTCCTTCAGCATCCTGTATRATAAAAAWYAGAAGAAMGATATAAAGAAAAAGRGCRRTTTTYTATCAAAATTAAAYGCAATACTTGCAACTAATACRCATTACTGCATGCTGTAACAWTGAAATGGCTTACACAAATATTCAAGTAAATCATCCTATYATAACACAGTTCAGAYTAAGATAAGATACGGCATGGCCAAGTTCTTCACTATTTTWTCCACAGTCATACACACAGTGATTTTTTCAATGCTCAATATCATATGTCCCATTCTTAAGATGATTACCTTAGCTTTCACAGTCAGAGTGTGAACACCATTGAAGTACTTTTGAGGATCCCACTTGCAGACATGTAGAGGTCCCTTCACATGTTGTACAGAAGATTCCAAGGGAACTCCATCAATGGATACAGTGACTAACTCAATGGGTGAGGTTGAAAATATTAACATCCTATAAAGGAATAATAGGACAGTTAGTCAGTCAGATGGTCTGGTCRGTCCTTCAGTTAGTCAGTTAGTCTGTCTGTCAGTGAGTAAGTAAGTTGGTCGGTCAGTTGGTCAGTYGCAGTAACTTGGTCTGCTACAGTCAGTCAGTCGGTTGTTTAATTAGCTGGTTATAATTAGTTGGTCAGTCAGTCGGTCAGTCAGTCAGTCTTTTGGTCAGTCAGTCGTTCGGTCAGTTGATCAGTCAGTCAGTTGGTTTGGTCTGTCAGTCAGTCGGTCAGTTATTTAGTCTGTCAGTGAGTCAGTCAGTTGGTCRKTCAGTTGGTCAGTCACAGTCACTTGGTCTGCCACAGTCAGTCAGCCAGTTGTTTAATAATCTGGTCAGTCGGTCAGTCAGTCATTCGGTCAGTCAGTTGGTGTGGCAGTCTTACCTAATGTGAGTTGATTTATTTATTCTTCCAATAGGTTCAAATGCTGGCATCAAGTAATGAGAATCTTTAGGGTTGGTAATAAGAATGATTGGCCACTTATCCAGTCGTACATCAACAAAAGAGAATATATCATGGTCAACTGCTGCAACTCTAAAGCTGTTGAGGAAACCAAGAAAAAAAAATKAAGCAAAGTAAAGTACAAATTACATAACAAAAAGTGAATAAATAGAGCATTTGAGGTGTTAGAGAATCCCAGTGCAAGTGCTATTTAGCAATATAACATGTTCGAATATTATGCTTTAGTTGGCTGACAAGGAGCCACTCTGTGGAAATGCCAYTGTTAAATCCCAATTGATATTTTATTTTTATATCATGTAATATCAGGGCAAACTTCAAGGTGAAGCAAGCATGCTGTTTAGTCTAATATGTCCCAGAAGGTTTTAAAAGTGCATGTCACAGGAAAGCGTCCCATTTCCTTTTATATTGCTTGTACAATTTTTTTGACAACTTTAGCATAAGCATGTCACTATYGAGGACTACACATGGCAGCCAGCCAATTAGAGCATCCCTCATATCTCCATATGCCTCAAATATTTCATAACACAGTTTACATGGTTTATAAACCTGAACTCACTTTCGATACCACTTCCAGTCACCAAGTTCCAGCTCAAGATGTCCRTTTCTATGTACAGCATGCATTACAGGAACAACTTCTCCAAGCGTGTGTAGATGTCCGCAGAGATAGACTGTACCATGCCTTCAAGGATTTGATATAAAATTKGTCTTAAATTTCTTAAATTAAAAATCAAGAGTTCTTCTAATCGATAGCCTCTTTAAGGGTAGAGCAAGAACAGAGGTCTACTAGTATTTTTGAAATTCCATATTATTTTGATAACAGAAAAGCATACTTAAAAAAAGATTTATTCCTTGCTCTGGAGACATATTATTAATATATAAATTCTAGGACTCATCTAAGTCTTCATCAGTCGATGAGTGTGGATTCCACTTATCATCAAATAATTTATTATAAGATTGTTGTAAACCCTAAAGCCTGTAAACGTTTATTATCATTTTTGCTCTGAGTCCYATAATTTATATATTGATAACAGAAGCACTTTTCTTCTTCTAGCCATTTCTATTTATTTTATTTTCTAGCTTTACTATCACCCTTATTATGTCTTCCCTTTATTATAATCGTTGTTATTATTATTTCCCAAGTTTTTCCATGTATTTTAATTTTGTTARCAACAATTAAATATTGCTTTGTAAATATTTTAGTTGCTCAGCTAGATTAGTTCAYACCACTCTGAGTGACTRTGCCACCATCATTATTACTATTAATCAAGGGCATAACCAGGGGGGCCAAGGGGGACCTGCATGGCTAATCCTGGGTCCGGTTGTAYGAAGGGTGGATAGCRCTATCCAATGGATAAATCCTTATTCAGTGGATAAAGTTGATGCTGTTATCCAATAAATTTATCCACTGAATAAGATTTATCCGTGGGATAGCACTATTCACCCTTTGTACAACCAGGCTCTAATGGCCAGAATTCTGTGAATATGGCAGAATAGTTTTAACCAAAAACTTGATCCCCTCCCCCACCCCTCAACAACTCTTTGACGGCCAATAGTGGGTATAATAAGTTGTCTTCTCCTACCTAAGAATCTGTCGCAAGGAGCTTGAAGTTAAAACAGAGAAAGGATAGTGACCAAACCAGAATGTCATATTTACTGTTTTGCTCTTCTCAGCAAGTTGGTTCATTTCATTAATACGAGACTAGAAATGTAAAGAACAGCAAGACAATGTATGATTTAGCAATATAATACGTACTATACAGATAA